AGTTAGTGACCGATTTTGATCATTTAGTGACCGAAAATTCAGTCATTATTTGATGTTTTTGTTGTAGTGCATCAAGCAACTTTAGGTTAGATACGAGTACATCTAGTCACTTATGGCTATAAACGTGTATATCAAACCATTCTTAGTTGTAGATGAGTACACGAAATTACTCCTAGTTGTAGATGAGTACATTCTCCTAGCTATAAATGAGTACACCAAGACATTGTTGGCTATCAGTCCTAATCTCCTCCTAAGACAAAAAAATATGAGTATTATTTGTTGTTACTCCTAGTTATAATAACGATTGTTGAAATTATATTCATTGAAAAAACAATGAGCACTTCTAATTAAGGTTTTAGTTCATTATGTGAAGAATACAATAATGAGTTTTTTCTCTCTTCTAAAAGAAAACACTCACTACTAGGATAGAAAGGAAGCTAATAGGATTTTATTGTAGTTGTTGTTAATGTTTTCTTTAATAGTTGAAGTCCTCCTTTTATAAGCTTCAATGTTGAAACCATAATATTTATTATTTTTTTAAACATTTCTTAATTAATCTAATATCCTTATTACATAATATGTTTTCTACGTCGTCATTTAACGTCGGTTAAAGCTGAGACGACGTTGAATGCAATTTTAATGTCGGTAGAATTTTTTGATACTCCAACCACTAAACTACTAGAATTTTCTCGATAATAACTTACAAATAAATTATATTTATATATAAATAAATATATATCTCGTGTAAATATATAAATACAAATATATTTCAACGTCGACTAATATAACGTCGGTTGTGGAACCGTCGTTGAAGGCCTTTCATAACCGACATAGGAGACCTTATCCGTAATAGTGTATATATTTTTAATATTCCTTGATATTCTTTTTTATGTAGTATCTCACTTTTTATATGTTCAAATATTCTTGTATTATCTAATTCAAATACTTTCTTTGTAAGTCTTTGTAGTGTAATGCGTATTTCTCTTTTTACCCAGATAAGAGAGATCGTTGGAGAAAAATATTTTCTTTCATCTATCTTGGACAAATTTTAATATACTTATATATTCTTCATCAGCATTTGGAGAAGACATAAGAAGTGACATGTGTTATAAACAGTTTTGGGGGTTTTGTATTTCAATAACTGATATTGTATCTATATATTACGCGACATAAAAATGTCACTGAGGTTAAGAATTTAAATGTTCTTCAATATAATTTTAGAACGCTCTTACAATTGCATGCTTCGTGGTAAGAATTTAAATGTTCATCAATTATTTAAAAATCATAGTAATTTGTTCATTAACATTTGTATATTTGAGTGTGTGTGATAACAATAATCAATGTTTCCGTGAAAATAATTTGTTTAAGCCCTGAAATTTATAATTTTTTTCAGCTTTGAACTTGTTAATTGTGTGATTGTAGTTTATGTTAATAATAAAAAATATTTGATTACTAATCATTAATAAAAGAACCAATCGTTCGGTCATGTTTTAAACAAAATTACTTATTATATATGATAGTTATATTTTTAATACTAAAAAATTATGTATAAATATTGTCCTCAGTATATGGATCTCAGCGTCTACTTATACGGAAAATTATCACTTCCTTCTCCACTATTAATGGAAAAGTAGGTTCAAGATAAGGAGACATCAACGTGTTTTAACCTAATACAATTCGACCAAACCCAATCAAACAACCCTAACCCTAATTTCTATATGTAAATAAATAAGAAAAAAAATGCCAAATAACAAAATTGCTCTAAAGGGAAAATAGAAACAAGATGTTTGGTTACCTAATAAAATAAAGTAGAAAAATGACCCTACATTGTACCCTTCATCAACTTGGATCGTAAGTAATCATTTCATTATTTAGGTAGCAACCAAATTTTAGTAGCATTTTGTAGTTCTCCACAATTACACAACCTGCGGTGAAATATTGACTTCACTGTTTCTTACACGTTGGGGGCAACACATGATTTTAGAAGTCAAATAATTTCTTAAGCTCTGTTATAAATAATGGCTCAAGTAGCTAAGACGAAGGTGTTTCTATTATTTTATTCAGTGTAGTTTCCCAAGGGGAAAAGTGAAAGCAACTAGAAGCAAGGGCAAGAAACAAGGCGCACTAGCTGGCCATTCAAATATATATCTGCCCAGAAGAAAAGACAATGAATATTGAAAAGTTCCTCGGTTGAACCAAAATGGGAAGCATGGGTATTCTTGATTTTGGTTCTTGTTTCAACTTTATATATCTTAGTGCTAACTTCACACATAAAATATAATTAGAATCCCTCTTCCCTGTATGCCAAGTACCTTTTTGAAGAATGTAAAACGCTTCTGGATGACTCTCTTCTCTTCATGTATATATCCCTCACCAGGGGTTTGTTTTGCTTCTCTTTTTCTCTTATGTGACTCCCTTCCACTAGTACAAAAATCACTTTTAACATCGATTTCCAGATGAAATCACTGACAAGATTTGAACCAAGCATCTTAGAGTTGAATCGTCGATATCTAACCACTAAGCTACTAAGATTTTTCGATAATAACTTATAAATAAATTATATTTATATACAAATAAAAATGTATATCCATGTAAATATATATATATATATATATATATATAATATAAATATAAAATATATAAATACAAATACAAATATATTTATATATTTATATATTGGATGTGAGAGTGCGCTCGAGAGTGAAAGTGTGTGTCAGTGGATTTTCAAAATTTGATGTCAAATTTGTGAACGAGTCTCTTTATATGAATTTGTAATTTAATAATAGAATATAATCTTTAAAATTTATTTATAATAATATAGAATATAATCTTTATAATTAATTATATAATGATATAAAATAAAGAAAAAAATTATTTTATATCATTATATAAATAAATTATAAAGATTATATTTTGTCATTAAGTTATAATCCATATAAATAGACTCGCTTACAAATTTGACATCAAATTTTGAAAATTCACTCGACACACACTTTCATCCTCGAGCGCGCCTCACATCCAACATATAAATATATAAATATATTTGTATTTGTATTTATATATTTTATATTTATATATTTACATGGATATACATTTTTATTTGTATAAAAATATAATTTATGTATAAGTTATTATCGAAAAATCCTAGTAGCTCGATGGTTGGAGTATCAGTCTTCGACTCTAAGGTACTGGGTTTGAATTTTGTCAGTGACAATTATCTTAATCGGATAATAATTCAAATTCCTAAAAAATATAAATAATATAATAAATAATAAAAATATAATATAAAAGGGAGAAGAGACCTCTAGATCAATAGATGGGATAATTAGAGAGGGGTTATGAATAAATAAAATAAATAAAAATATTAGACTTTCTACATCGGCTCTAGAACCGATGTTAAAAGCCCCTGGGAACCGATGTTAAAAGTTTATTTTGTACTAGTGTTGATTGATATATATATATATATATATATATATATATATATATATATATATATATATATATATATATATATATATATATATATACATATATATACTAAGGGAATACGCGTGGTAATCCGAGGGGTTTTGCTTTTTTTTATTGTTTCCAATTTTTTTAACTCGTCTCCGTCTTCGCCTTGATTTTTATTGAAATTAGTAATTAAGTCTTTATTTCTGTTGGGTTTCGGGTTTTTCTCGCTCCCGTTTCTTCTCTTATCTATATTATTTTTAGAAAGATAATTATATTTATAATAAATTAATTTTATTATGTATTTTTTATATATAAATAAATATTTATAATTTTACAATTTGTAATTATTATTAATTAAATATATTTTTAATTTATTATATTTATATTAAAATATATATGTAAAAGAAATATTTAATAATTATATATATATAATATTTGTAATATTATTATTATTATTATTATTATTATTATTATTATTATTATTATAATATATCAAATATTTGAATACTTATAACATTATTATTATTATTATTATTATTCAAACATTTATACATGTATAAGTTAATTTATTTTTAAGTTATTATTTAAAAATATTAAATATATAGTTTATAAAAAAATATTTAATAAGTTAATTTTTATTTAATTAGTTTGAAGTAATAAAAGTTTAAATTATTAATTCTTTTTAATCCTTTAAAATATAATTATTTTATTAAGATAAAATTTGATATATGACAAATAAGAATAATAAGATAAAAATATATGATATAATAAAACCTAATAAATATAAATTATAAATAAAATAATATTAGTTACTATTAAGATTTATGTAAGATATTTAGAAAAAGATAAAGAAAAAAATTAACTTTGTGTTTATCAAATTTGTTGAAAAAATTGAAAAAAGAAATAAATTGATTGGAGAGATGAAGGAAATGTGAAAAAACTGAAAGGTAAGAAAAAGATAATAACGTAATAAACTAATTGATATAAAAGATTAAAAAAATGAAAAAATAGGTCGAAGAAAAGTAAAAATGGTAAAATATAAAAAAATGACCATATATAAAATAGAAAAAAAAGAAATAATTTTAAAATATTAATATTTTAAAATTTAAATTTAAATATAAAGTCGGGAAGAATGAGAACGGGATCGAGGTGGAGATTAAATTACACATTCCCGCCCCGCTCTCGTCCTTAGCTCTTTAAAACGGGAAAAACTCGAACTTACCCCGCCTTCGCCCCCACCTTTGATCTTCCTCTCGTCCTCGTTAATTTAATTTTTTTCCGTCAAACTCGGAATAAGGATGAGTCGATCCCTACGGGTATGAGTTTCATTACCATATTAGCATAGAAGAGGTCACTATTTCTCTGTCGGACATCCCCCAAAATGAAAAGAACAATAGAAACTGTTTCTCCGGTTTCTCTCATGTTTTGCATCGTTACCTCTTATTACTCCCCGATAACTTGTTGCATTTAATGCACATTTATTTCCTTTTACTACAAATACTTGTGCTATCCCTCACACACTTGTTCTCAATATTGTATACCAATCCATGGCTATGTCTGTTACATACCATCCTCTCTTCCTTCTGTGCATTTTCTTTTTCTTCCATGCGTGCAGTGCAAGGTATCTGACCACTCTACATAACAAACTGGAGAAGAAACCCCATATCAAGGTTTGTCCGGATAAAAGCATACCAATAATTCTTTTAATAATTACTTTTTTTACTTTTGCAAGGTTTTAAGATATAGTTAGCACCCTAATTTTGTTACCACAATTGAAGTTTTTGTGCAATGTGAAGGACCAAGATGAAATTGCAATTCTCATTGTACTTTAAAGCCTTGTTTTTGTTTTACATTCATGTAATAAGCCTTCTTAATGATTTAGAGTTATAATATATGGTTCATAAGCTTTCATTTTTGTGAACGCAGGATGTTGAGACAAGTGGATTTAAACACCTTGGAGTGATGAATGAAGGTAATAAAAAGAAGACGTGGTTGGTTCCTCGAAATCTAAGGAAAGGAAGAAGGACTCCCCAGAAGGTGCTCAAAGCTAAGAGAAAAGATTCAGGTGCTTTAGAAACTCAATCTCTTGCTTCAGTTTATTGGCGCGTGCCTCACAAAAATGACCAAAATCGTGTGTTTAACATGGACTATTCACCACCAAAGACACATCCTCCGTCTCACAACTAAGCAACAAATTAAGCCACAGTTTACTATGTTTCCAAACCCAATTTTATTCATTAAGAATGACGCACCTGTGTCCAATAAGAACAGGGAAGAACAGATATGAAGACATGTTGTCCCTATTATGTACCTAGCTTGAAATGTTTAATCTAGCTATATACATGAATCAATCTATCACTTATGATATAATTAATGTTTTTTTTTTTTCATTTTTTGATGTAGATGACAAAAAGAATTCACTGAGCTTTTCAATTGTATTATTTTGGATTTTTTTTAACGTGTGGTTAAACACCTACATCAATATGTGAGATGAATATTTACGTTGGAATAACTCACCAACGTATATTTATATTTAACTAGCTAGTACAAAATCTGATGTGAATTTTGTGTTTCTCTCAAAATGAAAATGAACATCTTTCGGGTAATCAGTTATAATAGGGATGAGAAATTGGTCGGAAGTTGATAAAGCGAAATTTTTTTAACAAATTAAGACATGAATTTGGTGTATAGTAGTAAAAGAGGGATTCGACATAAAAGTTGAAATTTACATCGTATAACTTCTCAGTCCGACATAAACAAGATGGCATTTTTTCAATTGAGTAGTTACTAATTCAACCAGAAAAAAAAAACATTTTCCAAATATAATATATATATATATATATAATTATTATTATTATTATTATTATTATTATTATTATTATTATTATTATAATATAAATCAAAATTCAATTACAAAGCGTATTTCCTTGTAATTTTATTGAAAATATAAATCAAAATTTCTTAACCAAAATCAAATATAATTGTTTGTTTAGGCTAATATTGTTATACAATTTTCAACTTAGATAAATATATATTTTTAAACGTTTTGGAGTTTACTGAAAAATAATAAAACTTCATGCTCAATTTCAATATTGAAAATGTTAAAACTTATATTTATAATTATCAAAATTCTTTGATTAAAATAATATACAAATTTAAATATTTTATTTGTTTTATTTTTGTGGCTTTATATTGTAAACTTAGAGATTAAAGAAAAAGAAAGTACTTCTTTGAAAATAATAAAAATTAAGTAAGGTGGCTTTAATTTGAAATATAATATCTTTAAATACTGCATATAAATTTAATAAAATGTAACAAACCAAGAGAGAAAATTTTATGTCAACTGCAATTGTAGATAAATTAATAAAACGTAATTTGTGGAATTTCAATTATAAAAATAACTTGTAAAATTGTAAAAAGCATGGCTATAAATGATATAAAAGGAAGAACACGATGTCAGAGGATGCAACAGAGAAAGATGTGAGGATACAATGGAGGGTGTAATCAGGGATATGATTGAGAATACAAAGGAGGGGATAATAGAGATTAAGGACGTGACAAAAGATGAAGATGAAAAAGAGAGTAATAGCATGATTGAATGAGAAAGAGGTCGAGATTATAATAATTTAAAAGATGGTGAGAGGTAAAGAAAGAAAGTCAACAAAGATAAAGAAAAAAAGGAAAGAAGACTTATGGGGGAATGAAAGAAATATTTTACAAAAAAAGAAAATGTGTTTGCAAGAATATTATAAATGATTTTTTATATCGGTTATAATAAAACTAATATTTAATGTGACTTTTTAGGTCAATTATAATATAATTAATATAGAAAATTAGTTTTAAACTAAAAATTTATTATTATCTTTTTTTTCTAGCATAAATTTCTTTATAATTGATGTTAAATGGTATTATTAGAAATTGATTTGGTTTAGGTAAATATACATGCTATATTTAACTATAAATTATTTTATATTTATAAAAAAATGTGGAAAAAAATAAAAACTTTGAATTGCTTAAAATTTAAAGTAATTATGTAATTATTAACTAACTTTTAATTTTAATCATTGAGATGATGGGTATAGTTAACCTAATTTTATAAGCTTTTCTTATAAGTACTAATTTTACAATAAACCAAAATTCTTATAATATATATATATATATATATATATATATATATATATATATAATCTAAAACTAAAACATAAAAATATATTTTTCATATTAGTCATTTATTCTTAATATAATAATTAATTAAGTTATTATTTTATATTATTATATTACTATAATATAAAATGAATGATAAAAATAAAAACTACATCTTTAACTCTTAATATTAAAAAGATAATAAAATTTTATCAAATTACTTTTCCAAAAATCAATTTTTTAAAAAAGTCTATTATTAAATGATATTGGTTAGAAATCACAAAATCTTATTAGCCTGGGTTTACATTAATTGAATGTCACTCATACGTTTTTTTTATTTTGAATAAATTTGTTTTAACTGATATAATGAATCTTCGCATGAATAAATTTATATATTTGTAGTATTTATTTTGTCCAGAAAATTGATATTATAAGTATTATTCTCCAGTTATATTATATATAATACATTTTATAAAATATAAATTATTAAAAATTAAAAAATATGATTGAAAAACAAAATTTATATTATTTATGATAATATATATAAAAGTTATCTCATTGTTATATATTGATTCCGTAAACCAGAATGTGGGGCACTTCTGCATTATTTCCACGTGGTTGCATAGTTCAATCTTTAAATCAGGGAAATTAATGTTGGCAGTAGCTATAGCTTATATAGTTCCCAACATGGTTTGGATGTTTTGTCCACTGAATCGATATATATAAACTTTATTTTCATAATCTAATAATTAAAATAATAACTCAATTATTAAATAATAATAATAAGAAGAAGGAATAGTAAATTTCTAATGAATTTCCACGAACTCTTTTTTCACATATGAAGAAAGATAATTTTTCATGCCAAGTTTTGGATTTCTATTTAAGGATTATGTTTTGAACATTTCGAATGAAGTTTGTATCATGAGAATTAAATCGGTTCCCACTTCCCATTTCGAATGAAGTTTATGGATTCTAGTGTTTTTTTTTTTTTTTTTTTTTTTTTTTAAGTTAAGAAATAGGTGAAGGCGAGTAATGCAAGTTGAATTGATTTGACCAATGTATTCAATTTTATATTTAAATTTATATTTTAAAATATTAATTTTTAAAATAATTTTTATATTTTATATTATTTATAAATTTATTTTTTTTAATATTTAACACTTTTTATCCTCTTTTATCCACTTATTTATTTTTTATTTTCTTTATCTATTTTTCCACGCTTTTTTATTTTTAAATAGATTTATTACATTTTTTTTCTTTTACCTTTTATCTATTCACATTCTTTTAATTTTTTAATCAATTTAATTTCTCTAGTTACATTAACTAAATTGGTAACTTTTATTTTTTTATCTTTTTTATAAATATTCGACATATTAATATTAATTTATCTTTATTAAATTTTATTATATCATATATTTTAAAATTTTATTATTTTTATTTATCATATATTAAATTTTATCTTAATAAAATAATTATATTTTAAAAAATTAAAAAATTTAATAACTACAACTTTTTATTATTTTAAATTAATTAAATAAGAATTAATTTATTAAATAATTTTTTATAAATTATATATTTTATATTTTTTATCATTTTAAAAATATTTGAATACAATATTAATATATATATATATATAAGTATTTTATATTATGTAAAAAAATTAAATATTTTTATATACAATTTTAATATAAATATAATAAATTAAAATATATATACTTAATTAATAATACTAATTAAAAATTGTAGAAATATAAATATTTATTTATATATAAAAATTATTAAAATTAATTTATTATAAATTTAATTAATTTTTTAGAAATAATATAAAATAGAGACGAATTAAAAACAAGAAAACTAAAAAACTCGATAAAATATGAAGATTTAATTTTTAATTTGACGAGAACGAGAGTCAAAGATAAAAAGTGTTAAAAAAAATATCAGAAATGAGAAGAGACAAAACTGGCCTGTCCTATTTATCACATGATATTTTTAATTCTTTTTCATATGTTTTTACAAAGAGTTTAATTTCTATTCACGAAGATGTAACTGTAGAAATGCTTTTTATATTATTAATGTATCAAAAGTTATAGTAAGAATGACTTTAATTGAATGTCTATTTTTTGTAATTTCTTTTTCACCCAAATGTATAAGTTATTTTCTCTTTGTAATGTCTAATCCTTACTCAGAAGAAGAAAAAAACTAAAAAGGTTATTTTTAACTATGTAAAGGTAAATATAAAATAGGTACAATTTTACATATTAAAGACTTTGAAGTTTAACGGTGAAAATAGTCAAAATCTGGGATTCTTTTTCGCCAAAAGTAATCATCCAAGATAAGTTTTAAATAAAATTATAAAATAACATATCAAACAAATAAAATTTATATTAAAAACACATGACCAAAAAAAATAAAATATATATATATATATATATATATATATATATATATATTATTATTTATTTGTTTGTTTATTTGTGTGTTACACTTACCAAACTGTGGTGAGGATATCCTTGGATCAACAACACTTTCACATCAACTAAAAGTTCAAAATTATGTTTACTAAAAATGATATCATCTTTGTGTCAACAGCTTTTTACTACAAAATAAATATTTATTTTATATAACTAAAATTACACTAAAAAAAATTTAAAATATATAAATCGTGTCACAACAAGTGAAAGATTTCTCAGGATCCGTGATTTTTATTTTTTTTGAAAGATTTTCAACTAACAAGTGCATGAGAAAAAAATTTCACGATTTTGTATAAAATTAGTAAATGAATTTTTTCAAAGAAATTTAAATTTAAATTTATTGTTTATTCAAAATTATATCCTGGTTTTAATATTATTTTAATTGATTTTTTTTAATTCAAACAAAGAAATCTATTAAAGATTAAAAATAAGACATAAACGAATCATTATTGACATTTTTAACATAATATATAACATTTCGAATATCTAATAGGTAATACAATATTATATACTAAATTTAAACTATTTAAAAAAAGAGAGTTAAAGTTCATAAATTAAAATATCTAATAATCA